TATAAAGGGAGGGAGATAGGGAATAAAGGAAGGAGGCAAGGAAGGAAGGAGGGCAGGAAGAAAGGAAGTGGAAGAAGAAAGAGGCAAGGAAGGAGGGAGGGAGAAAGAAGGGAGGGAAGAAAGAAAGAAAGAAAGGAAGAGAGAGAGAGATAAAGAAGGGAGGGAGGAAGGGAAGAGGGAAGAAAGAAAGGAAGTGGAAGAAAGGAAAGAGGGAAGGAAGAAAGGAGGGGGAAAAGGAAGGAAGTGGAAGAAAGGGAGGGAAGGAGGGAAGGAATTTCGAGACAAGCAGCAGTTAATAACAAAAACAATAATGACCACCCTCCATGGCCCCATTCAGTGGCATCGACAGCCAAATCCTTCTCTCTCCTCAGCCAAATTTCCTTGGGCCACCACCCCGTCCTCCCCCTTTTCCATTTCTACTTCAGCTCCTCTTTGACAATTAGGACCAATATTTTTTTTATTTTCGATGCATTTTTGGCTCCGATTTGGTACACATCGTCTTCCTCAAGCACGACGTTCCTGACCGATAAAGGGAACCGCAGGGGCCAGTTTTAATGATTGCGCATTGTCCATTCACTGAGGAAGAAAAATGGGCCGTTTGGGGCAGAGGTTTTACTCGTTCGTTGAAAGGAAGAGAGGCTCAGAAAAGTTATTTTTTTGACTCCAGGTGTCCAAGGAAAGGCCTGCCCCACCACCCTTGTGCCGACAAACAGGTTCAAAATCAAATTGCCCCCAAAAGACAAACAGCTTTGTTGCTGCTCCAGCTGAGAAACTTAATTCGGAACTTGCTTACCTCCTGATTTATAATCCCTTGCAATATTTATGGCACCAGTGCTTTTATTCCACGCCTGAGCCGGGTTTCGTATTAAGCACCTAATAAATAAGGCCCTTAGAAATGGCCGCTACTACCTTCGGGAGCCATCCGGCGCTACCCCGGTGCATGGAAATTAGTAACGGAATGATGGAAGTCATTCCATTGAAGAAGGAAAAAAATGGGGCCTCTCCGGGCCAGCGCAGTCTACCTTTGGATTCCAAAGGGAAGCTTTCTATACCCCCTTTTTGGACTTTTTTTCTGAATCCATCGACCAGTCGTAAAAAAGAGCACCAAGGATACTTCAGTGAAGCCATAGGGATTTTTATTTTTAAAAGTTATTTATTTGTATCCTGCTTTTATTATTTTTACTATTTTATTATTTTTACAAATAACTCAAGGCAGCAAACAGATCCCACACAGCTTAATCCTCCTGTTTTCCTCACAACAACAGTCCTGTGAGGTGGGTTGAGCTGTGGGGGAAAGACTTGCCCATGGTCCCCCGGATGGCCTTCCTGCCTGAGGTGAGACTAGAACTCCCAGTCTCCTGGTCAAAGTCATCCAGATGGCCTTCCTGCCTGAGGTGACACTAAAACTCC